ATTGAACTTTTTTCCCTGGAAGAAACAAGTCATGGTCAATACTAGACATATCAAACTCATGATAAAGAAACCAACAGAAAAAATATTAAAAAAGAATATATATAGACAATAAAAACAATAAGATATATTATGGCCAATGCACGCAATATAATGCAAAATGAACCCAATATTAAACTATTATCATATTTTATTAAATAAAGATATATGTTTAAATATATATTCACAATATGGACAACATTGAACTAAATAGAAAATCTAGAAGTCAAATCTCTTATTAATTTTAATATACTTATGAGCAAAACAAAATAATCATCATATTCATTTCATACTACTTCACACGATGCAAACAGCGATTCATCATCTAAAAATTAACTACAACATTATCGTTGAAACATTTTCATTCTATTTATTATATCATTATATCAATTTCGTTCTATTTATTATATATCCATTCAAACAATTTTAATATAATAGTTTGTGTTTTCAAAACTATATACAATATTTAATTAATAAAATTTTGAAAGCACCTTCCTTATAAATGATCTATATACAGTTAACAAATTAATTAATGAGTACAAAACCATAAATAAACACAGATTAACAAAATGAGATAATAATAATCATATAGTACCACAAGCTTATCAGACGTCTTGTGCTTTCTCTCCACACAGAACATAACTAATACATGATGTCATTTTTCCCTAACAAGTTGTGCTCTTCCTCCCCACATAGGTTACGCTCGCACGTTTCGCAAAACTATTGACTAATTGAATATTGCATGTCTTTTTTCTTAGGGAAACAAGGAGCATCAATACAAGGAAAAAACATATCAGTCATATTGAAGAGCCAACCTAGGATATATTCAACAAGACAAAGACAATAAAATGATATAATACAATTAATGTCCACTAAGATAGGATTGCTCCCTTTGTTATTTTTCTTAAGCATGCATTTTATCTAACGGTATAACACAAAATGAACCCAATAGTGAACTAGCACCATTTCTTCTAGTGAACGAAGATATACATTCAAAAACATGTTTACAAAGCAGACAACATTTTACCCACATTGGACTAAATAAATAATCTACATGTTGACTTATTATTTTTAAATCTAGCAGTAACTACAAGCAGGACAAAAATAGCACCTCACTAACAAACTAAGTGACATGCTAATTCCCATAGATCCATGCAAACAACTTTTAATCCTAACATGCTTTTTTTAATCCAGCACTCCCTACAAGGAGGACAAAAATCGCACCTCGGTAACAGACTAAGCAACATGCTAATTCCTATAGATCCATGCAAACAACTTTTAATCCTAACATGTTATCTTTGACAATTAACTACTGCATGATGCTAGTAATTTTTGAAATCACTCCCTCAATCATGCAATAAACCAAGAAATAAAGGAAAAATCATGCAAGCCATACACGTTAACATCATGAGATAATAATTAAACCAAGGCATAACTTAGTAGCCTAACAATCTCACAACTAAAACAACATTAACATCTAATCATGCACATCTAATGAAAATCACTCATATAGTTAACAAATGCATCGAGTAACTATACTCTAATAGTGTTAATAAGATGTCATGATACGATAAAAGATAATTCAATGACTTCCAAGGCATAACTTAGTAGCCTAACAATCTCACAACTAAAACAACATTAACATCTAATCATGCACATCTAATGAAAATCACTCATATAGTTAACAAATGCATCGAGTAACTATACTCTAATAGTGTTAATAAGATGTCATGATACGATAAAAGATAATTCAATGACTTCCCAGTTTCATCTGATGCATCACAAGACATAACAAAGTTATGAAGCACGGGCAGGCATCAAATTAGATGGTGAGTAGACGCAGTAGATCTGTAGAAAGAAATCGTCTATCCCCATCCTCTCTGATAATCCTCCTACTCCTGAAAACAATAAGAATTACAAGTGTGAATAAATATATGCATATACCCAAAAATAATATCAATTTACAAAAATAAATATCATGAAAACCCAATCTTTGGCCACTTCTAGCACAGAACATGCTACTTTATCTGAAGTAAACAATGCAGACAATAAACCTTGTAAAACTAATATCCATACATGAATCAATTTATCTAAAGTATACAATTGCATGCAACGGTACTACGATGATGGCAAATTACTGTTACTATCTTGTAACCAAGACCACCACCATCTCTATCTCCGTCTCTCGATTGATTGTGCGAATAGGTGATACACACATCTGTTTGTGTGGATCCTTGTCAATTATTTATCTCAGAAATTCCTTTTGCATGTCATAGTCTAAATATAGATGAGGATATTCACATCTATATTCTGACAATAAAAATAAAATAACGAATGTTTGGAGAGCCATAATCTGTGTGAAAGGTGATTGATATTTAATTATCATATCAAAATAAGTAATGTACAACATAGCTAATCACAACTGATATGTGACAGCTGATCATCAAAAGAAGGGCTACATAGCTATCACAGCCCACTTTATTGGTGATAATTGGAACCTTAGGAGTGTTATCATGTGGTACTAAACTTATCAATGCTGCTGTCTTAAGATATTATCAATGCTGCTGTCTTAAGATTATCAATGCTGCTATGTTGCACATATGAATGTTGTTGTCTAATAACTTGTCAATGTTTTGTATGGTGTTTAGGTTCATTTATGTGCCAGCTCCACAAATTGCAGAAGCTATAGCAGATGAACTGTATGAGACTTTGGTTGCTTGGAAATCTTGATGTGAAGCTTTCTGCCATGATTCTGGATAACTGCACCTCAAATGACAAGACAGTTGATCTATTGCTGAATAAGATAGGGAAAGAGAACTAATGCTGAAAGGTATGATGCTTCACATGCGATGTAGTGCACATGTTCTGAATTTGATAGTGAAGGATGGTTTGGATGTGTTGAAAGCTGCTAAAAAATTCCTAAGTGTAGCATTTTGGACAGCCACCCCAGAAAGGGTAGAGAAATTTGAGGAAATTGCTAAGTTTCAGAAAGTAAAAATGGGAAAACAGTTGGTACTTAACTGCAAGACTAGATGGAACTCTACTTTCACCATGCTCCATACTGCTTCTTCACCTTATAAGGCTGTGTTTGAGCGTGCAAAGAAGGTTGAGAAACTATATGACTGCTATCCTAGTGATGATGAATAGGCTTTTGCTTCTGATGTACTACCTCCCGTTTCAAATTATAAGATGTTTTGGATATTTCAACATGACCTACCTATGGATTGAAATGAGCAAACAAACACATTAAAATGTGTATACACATCCGAATCAGAAAAAAGCTAGATTGGGTACTCTTCTTGTAAGAAGATCAAAAATGAAATGTTGGTTGTTTGCTTCTCTATCCTACATGATGTTACTCCTGAAGAGTGCCATGGTCATGTTTCAGAAACCGTTGCTTCATTATGTAGCTTGTTGGAAGAATATCAGGTTGACAACAATGAAGATGATGTGGAATCATCACATTCCTCAAGGGCAGCACCAAAAGCTACAGCTTTAATGTCAATTCTCAATGCACGCGTTGCTCAGAAAAGGCCAGCTTTAATGTCAATTCTCAATGAGTTAGATCAGTACTTGATAGATGATTTGGTCCCATTGAGCAAAGAGCATTTTGATGTGTTGTACTGGTGGAAAGTGGCTGGTAGACGCTATCCTACATTGAGAAAAGTAGCAAGAGACATTTTTGCTATTCCGGTAACAACAGTTGCATCAGAATCTGCTTTTAGCACAAGTGGCAGGGTGGTATCAAACTGAGTGTATGGACCGACATTTAGAAACTTGTATTATTAAAACCAAAGCTTATAGTGGCAGCCTCAAACGCTAGCTCCAACGTGAAGAATAATAACATGCAGATATAAACCTTCAGCTGAGCTACTGCGATAGGGAAGGGAGAGAAGGTCATGCATGCTGTGTTAGCTCCACTGGCGACACAGACTGAAAATGGTCAGTTTTCACTCTAACACTATTCCTGCATTTTGTATGCCTATGCATATTGTAACCGCCCTCTGTTGGATGCTGTTTCCTGAACGGTGGTAGCAGTGTGCAGTCAAAATTAAACAACACCTGTGCTAATGTAGTATCAACTATCTTATCTCAATTGGGTGGCTCACCTCTCGAGCATCCATCGGATGGTAGGGAACCATGTTGCTTATCCTCGTTGATAATGCTCACAGCATGGTGGATTTGGAAGCAGTGAACCGCTGCCGTCTTAAACAGCAATAGACTTATAGACCTGATATCACTATGCTGCTCATCAGTAATACGTGCGGAGTCAGGATTCTGGGCTAAGGCAGGGGCAACTGGCCTACAGGCATTACTACCAGCAGAGCAGGGTTTGTCCAAAAAGAATGAGACTCAATCAAAACATACACACGCTGAATAAGGATGTAAACGCTCGTGGGATATAGGATCAACCAGTTTGGATTATTTTAAGTAAGCAAGTGTAATTCCTTGCCGATTTCTATAGTCTCTGCCTGCTATATGTTTGCTGAATCAAACAGCATTCTTAGTTAAAGCAAAAATTGTAAGGATAGGCCAATTACAAAAACCCCAGACTGGGAATTAATCGCCAAGTACCAGAAACCCTGATTGTAGGAACCGAAATTGGTAAAGATACCACCTATCATTGCTCACCATTTGGTGTGCATCTTACTCCAATTCCATTGGTGCTTGCTGGGGAGTACTTACTCTAGTAGGTATTGTAACAGCAAAGAAGCTAAAAAAACATAAGAGTAAATGAATTCAAGAAAATCATGCATGAGTGGCATGCCATGGATTTGTAAGGGGACACGCAAAAATGTAGTGTAATTAGAAGGCACAAGCTGATCTGTGCAATCTTACTTCTCAAGCTTCACATATAAACTTGCAGCAGTACGGTACAAGTCAAAAGCCATACTTCTAATGATACTTCTCCGATATCGACCAGCCCAGCAAGACTAAACCCTACTTTCCCAATACGGTGCATTTTAGGTGATAAGATAGGTACCCTAAAGAAGTGAATATATATAGATATGGTTCAGAAATATCATAGGTCATCTGAAGTAAACATACCAGTGGGCCTGACGAGGTAAACGCGGTGAAAAGATGACGGACAGCAGTTGGCTCTTCGTTGAACCTGGTGATGAGATCAGTGGCGGCCGCAATCGCCTGATGAAGATGTGCTAAACCAGCGGCAAGAACACCCCTGGTCAGGCCATACTGGAGTGCGACTCTTTGCAGGAAATCATCTGCATTTTCATTGAGGGCACGCAATTCTCTGAACCGAGTGGCAGCACCAACCCCAGCCTGCCCTAAATGTCCATTTATACTGTTGAGCTCACTGACGGCATACTTAAGGAACGATGACAGACGCCTTGACTGAGCAATATCAAGGGATGCGAGTAGCACAGGATCAAAATCCGGCGGTGAGCTCTGCAGGCTTCGCGTGATCACTCTGGCATACTTGAGAGATCCACGGTTGGGATAGAACCTTTCATGGAGGATGTCCATGACCTTACGGTGCCCAAACTTCACCGCAGCTGTCGTGAGGATCGCCACGTTGCCCTCGATGACACCAGTCTGTAGGTCGTTCGCGAGCTTGGCGAGGCTGCCAGCCCGCTCCTGCAGATCCTCGAAGGTAGTGCGGGTGGCCCGCAGGGAGCTGAGCAGTAGCTGCGCGTATGTAGGCAGACGAAGCCACGGCCGCTCACCCCCGCCACCGCCGGCCCCTCCGCCGCCAGCCGCGCCGCCGAACGCCCCTCTGCCAGCCCCGCCGCCGCTAGCCCCTCCGACACCAGCCCCGCCGCCAAACGCCCCACCACCGAACGCCCCGCCGCCGGCCCCGCCGCCGAACGCCCCTCCGCCGCCTGCCGCCGCCATCACCGCCAGGTACAACCGGATCCGCGGCGCCGTCGAGTGTGTGGGGGAGGGGGAGGGGAAGCGGATGTGCTAGAAGCCTCGACTGGGGAGAGGGGTGGGGTGCGGGTTGTTCGTGCGAGGATACCTAAGGTGTGTTTGGTTGGGGAACCAACTGTCATGGAATGGAATGGTTCCATTCCAGAGGAATGGGTCCGTTCCATTCCTGTGTTTAATAGGAGCAAAAGAGCGGAACGGGTTGGTTCCATTCCACTGTTTGGTTGGAAGAACGGAATGAAAAATGGAATGACATAAATTCAAAATTTCGACAGCATTTCATTTGTACTTTCAAAAAAGACAACATAACAATATATATATATTCAAGAAAGACAACATAACAACACATATAGCACAAGTTTCAACAACACATATAACATAGGTTTCCCAAAAACAATCAGAGTGCAATAGAGCCATACATGTCAAGTTCACATACTTGACAACCACACATGTCATGTTCACATATCAAATCTCCAAAAGCAATCAAAGTGCACTACAGCCATACATGTCAAGTTCACATACTTGGCAACCATACAACCATATCGAATTTAGAAGTTCTTCTTGACATACCTACTCACCCAAACAGACTTGTTGATTTGGGTAAGTTTCATGAAGGCTCTTGCAGTCTTGGGGTTGTCCACAAGATGAGCATAGTAGTGGGCTAGGTGCTCTTCTTGAAAATCTAGCAGTGTTGATATTACATCCCAAAGGTCATCGGGTATGTCATCATCATCTCTACTAGACTTCACAAGCGCTTCAGCCACAAGTTTGAACCCATCTTTGAGAGTGATAACTAGTGGATCCTCAACAACGTGCTTTATCTTAGCCTTCTTTTTGGGTGGTGCTTTGGGGTCACAAGACTCACCAACATTTGGTGACGTGTTCACCTCACCATTCTCCTCGTCTTCGAGATCAATAGAAAGAAGATCGTTGCCAGACCTAGCATTCTGCCCCTTGGCCCCCATTGTCCCATAAATGGAAGCCATGGCATGATAGTGTTCAATTGGTGTATTCAAGAAGGGGGCATCAGCTTTGTGGGTCTACAAACATTGTGCAAATTGATTAGCATAATGCTAACATAAATGGCATCAGATTTGTGGGGTGAGAAGCATACCATACAATGCCCTGCATAGTGCTCCTCGCTGAGCCTAATTGTGCAAGTGTCTTCATCCCATAGAGCTCCACTTAAATTCTTCAAGTTGGCTACCCTTCCCCATATCTTCCTCCACTTCTTGAGATGGTTTTTGACTTGATCTCCGATGACAGAAAGCTTGAATTGCTCGTTCAAAACAGCAGCACATTGTCTATGATGCACATCCCTGAATCCACTTGAAGTTCTCTTCCCATCAGCAACAAGACCAGCCAAAAAACCAAGCATGGTTTTCGTCATCGAATTGGTCCATACAATGATCCCAGCTCTCCCGGAGCTCCCACTTGCAGCGGTGACTTCAACACTCTCCATTTCTGTCCAGCCAACAAGAGATTGAGAAAACATGGATTATAGCATTTCAAATACATGGTGCAAATAGAGTAAATGATATAATCTATCCAGCCATGAAATAAATTCAAATGTAGTTGTCGAAACATCACAAATACATGGTGCAAATAGAGTAAATGATATAATCTGTCCCGCCATGAAATAAATTCAAATGTAGTTGTTGAAACATCACAAATACATGGTGCAAATAGAGTAAATGATATAATCTGTCCCGCCATGAAATAAATTCAAATTTAGTTGTCCAAACATCACAAATACATGGTTCAAATAGAGTAAATGATACAATCTGTCCAGCCATCAAATAAATTCAAATGTAGTTGTCCAAACATCACGAAATACATGGTTCAAATATAGTAAATGATACAAATACATGGAGTGTGCCACACTCATAGATTAGCATACATGAGTTGTCTATCTTCCCACATTTGGGCTGCCATTTGTAGCCTACGATCTACCACGGCCCTAGTGTCACTTGCTTGTTGCCTTGATGTTCTAATTGGTTGGGTGGTCCATGTCACTTCAGGTATAATAAATTCATCAATCCCTTGTGATAGTGCATAATTGTGAAGAACACAACAAGCTATAACAATGTCAACTTGTGTTGGGAAAGTAAAGAATGGTTTGGCATCATCTAAAATTTTGAAACGCCTCTTGAGAGATCCAAAAGCCCTCTCTACCGTCACCCGTAGTGAAGAGTGCCTAAGGTTGAATAGCTCCTTATCATTTTGGACTGGATTGTTGCCCCACTCATTCAAATGGTACCTCACACCACGAAAAGGTGGTAAGAACCCGGCCTTGGCTCCATAACCGGCATCAACTAGGTAGAACTTCCCTAAAAAGGTGAAACAAATAATTGTGACAATGGTTTCTTGAGGCAAAGAACATGTGACAATTTCTATCTAAGCCAACTTCTTACCTGGTGGTACTTGTAAGCCTCTCTCACGCGTTAACGCATCAGCTAAAACGGTTGCATCGTGTGCTGACCCTTCCCAACCAGCCAATACATACGTGAAGCGGAGATCAAAATCTACCGATGCCATCACATTTTGGGTTGTAAAGGCCTTCCTACCACGAAAAGAATGCTCCACATCTTTGGTAACACCTGCTCGCACATGTGTACCATCGATAGCTCCAATACAATCCTATATAGTGACAAGTAGTAAATACCATATCATATAGCCTACATACCTAACGAATAGTTTTAGAAATTACCTTAAAATATGGGTCAAACCGATGATTTCCTGCAATTTTTGTGGGGGTCTCCAATGATGGTGGCCGTATATAATCATTACGAAGCTCGCCTATGGCATGAAGAACCTTTCTAAAATAGATGCTGGTTGTGCCGTATGATCTACAAAAATTGGCTGACACAACCCTATTCCGAAGGTTATGCCCAATTGTATGCAAAAACATCGCCAATTGTTGCTCCACACTAAGATGTGGACTGTCTTCTAGCAACTTGCGATCCCTTATTATGCTACACAAATTAAAAAATGCAGCTCTTTCAAACCTTAACATGTTTTTGCACAACACATCACTTTGCCATATTTTTTGGTTTAGATAATCAAATCTGATTCGATCTCTTTCATGCATTGGCCCATAGGTAATGCGTGGTCTTCTTTTCCTTATTATAGCCCGAATAATGACTGCCATTGCAGCTAGTGCAACAAAAACAATAGCTCCCCTAACCATCTTTTTTCTTTTGTTCATCTTCTTGGCCATCTACAAGTGATGCATAGTATCAAAAATATAGCTACGAATGACGCATACATCAACAATATATATTGCAAAAATATACTGGACAACATGTATTTTCGTACAAATTAGGAAAACAGAGTACTAATTTTACCAACATAAAGTAACGAAAGTGAAACAAATACAACCATGAATCATCACAAGAACCACTCCATATCTCTGTATCACTCTCGTTTGGGCATATCCAAGACCAGCAGTAGAATATACAAGGGGAAGGGATTGATGTTTGTACCTAGAGATTGGGATGGTGTGCTGGGCCTCTGCTGCCGCTGTCAGCCTGCCAGAAGCCGCCGCCCCGCTGCTATTCCTCTGCAAGCCGCCGCAACTGCAGATCCAGATCGAGCTCCCTCTGTTCTGCAGCAAATCATGAGAGGAATGAGAGGAGTTAGTGGGCACCGAGGAAAGGAGGGAGTCGGCCGGCGGGGAAGGGAAGATTTGGCCGGCGGGGAAGGAAGGAATCGGCCGGCGCGCCTAGATCCATGGACGGGGAGAGAGGAGGGAGAGGCGGCGCACCTGGAGGGAGAGCGAGGCGATAAGGCTGCGAGGGCTGCGAGAGAGCGAGGGGTGAGCGGTTCCGCGTGGTCCGGCCATTTTCGAGGTCTCACCATGTTCCGCATCTGGGCCGAATATTCGGTCCGCGGGAACGAGTGGGTTCCGATCCATAAGTCCAACTGAACGCGAAAACGAGGCCTAGGAATGGGTCGGACCCATGCCATTCCAGTCCGTGACATCAACCAAACACACCCCTAGCGTCCTTGGGCCTTAACACCGATCCAGCAGCTCCTGGGCCAGCTAGCAAGAGACTCGTTTCTTGCTCGGTGCTTCTCGCCCACATAGACCATTCTAAAAAAAATCTCAGAAAAAAACATAGACCATTCTAAATATTCTCCGAAAAAAACATAGACCATTCTAAAAATAAATCTAAAATTATGAATATTGGTTTATTTTTTAAACCTCCCACCATCTGGCATTTTCGGTTTTTTTGTATTTCTTTTATTCCATTTTCCATTATCTTTTCCTTTTTAGCTCTCTTTTCATTAATTTTTGTTTGCTCCTCTTCCTTTCTCTTTCTTTTATTTTGTTTATTTTCGTGTATTCTTAGGGGTTTTTGGCTTTTTATTGTTCTTATTGAGTTTTGCTTATTTTTATATTTTTGTTTGTTTTTTAAATGCATGCCAACTTTTCTAATACACGCTGAACATTCTGATTGCATCATGTTGAGCATATTTTAAATATACACTTAACATTATTTGAATACATCTTGAACATTTGTCAAATGTACATTAAACACTTTGTAAATACACGATGCACATTTTTCAAACACGTTGAATATTCTTTTAAAGACATATCCAACATGAGTCATTTTTTGTTTTACCTTTCTATTCCCTTTAAAAAAATCATTTTTTGTTTTTTTGGAACAATTTTCTGATTTCATTTTTAATTCTGTTTTCTTTTTTCAGTTTCCATTTTTTGTTCATCATGTATAATAAAATTTTCCATTGTCTTTTCCCAAACGTTTGTTATGTACTTAAAGAAGGTTAATACCATATTACCAAAAAAACAGTTTGTATTTAAAAAACAGTAGTGTATTAAAAATTGTCCACCATAAATACTTTAAAAAGTTGAACATGTATTAACAAAATGGTCGTTTTGTCCAAAATTTCTATCATGTATTAAAAAATTTGTTCAAGTGCATCTAGAAATTGTTCATCGAGTATTTAAAAAATGTTCATTGTTTATTTGACAATGTTAAACATGTATTTTGAACTGGTTCATTGTGCATTTCAAAATATGTGATTACGAAAAACGCATGAACATTTTTAAATAAACATGAAAAAGGTTAAAATAGTCATTAAAATACATGATTGACATTTTTAATACGTATGAACATTTTCTGGATACTAAATGAACACCTTTTTAACATTCATGGACATTTTTAGGTAAGAGATGAATTTCATCAAAGTACAATTCGAACATTTTTAAATATGCAATGTACATTTTTTTAACATGCGAGAAACCGTTTTGCTATACACAATGAATAAATATTCTAAATACATATTGAATATATTTTTAAATGCACGTCAAACAACTGATTAGAGTACTAAAATATAAATATATTCCAAATATATGCTTTTATGATATTTCTGAAAGTAAGGAAAAATGAAACTATAAGCACGTTTGGGCCCGACGTGACCATTCTAAGTTGGGCTCTTTAATAGGGAGTTCTGGAGGCCAAAATTTTAAAAAAGAAATCAAAATGAAACCTTTTCAGTTTAAAAAATGCTGAAAAAATATACATGTGTACACGGAAGTAATGTATGTGTATTTTCAGAATTTTTTGTAACATAAAGGTATGGAATTTGACACTTTTCAAAATCCAGCCTCCATAGAGCTCGGCCTCCATTTGGCATTTTGGGTTATTTTCTGTTTTTGGTTTTGAATCTCTTTTATTTTTAGTTTTCCATTTCTTTTTTAAATGTCTTTTCATTTTTATGGTTTCCTCTTCCATTCTTTTTCTTTTTTCTTTTTATTTTTATTTTCGTCTATTCTAGGGATTTTGTGTTTCTTTATTGTTCTTTTTTTTGTCGGTCGGAGGAGCCCGACAAAAAGTGTCGCTCGTGGCTTCGGATGGCAAGGCGGAGCGGAATTATTTTTTGTTAGAATAAATCCGAGGCACTCCGTCGATCATCCGAGGACCAAGCAATCACACGAGCACGACACCGAGATTTGTTAACGAGGTTAACCGATATGGCTACATTCCCGGGGTCTGACTACGGGCGCTCCTCCCCATGACACCGCTACAATATCGCACCCAGTCGCCCTGGACACCGGCACATGCCGCCGGCTTCCCCTGCGTTCCGGTGCTATTATGTTGGCATAGGTTACATCGTGTGTCTACCCCCGCTATATAAGAGAGGCCTAGGATACAAGTGTCCTACTAGGACACGACACCATATCCTATGTAAACACAATACAACTATAAGTCCAACTGTAACCTACCTTGTACACTATATTCGACACAACTCCAACAAACTCCACCTTGGCGAATATACTCCACCACCCTGGATTTGTCCATGCGTCAAACTTTCATGTACATTGGACTTAAGCTTATCCCATGAGTACCGCTGCTACTCCAAAGACTCCATGTGACTCCACCTGCAACTTGTAGTCCCTTCTTTTTTTGACCACAGTCAATACTCGAGCAAAAATAAGTTCCTTGTTACTCTAGTTTGTGCTCCTAATTTCCAGAGTATCCGTCCAACGCTATCACACACTGATCACTGACCTGCGTGAAAGTGAACAACTCACATATTGGGTGTCACACACAAGAGTTACCTGACTCAACATCACCGCTCCTTTCTTGACTGCCTGTCTGAAACTTGAAAGAATTTCACCATTGCTTGTAGTCATCCCGAGTCAAATTCGCAGTTGTCTCACCACATGTATGACCACCAGAGCCCTGCCCGTCTCCATGTTCCGTGCGTACCGCACGCCTCGCCGCTATTACCGCGTCGAGCCTCCGCTGTCCCGGTCGAGTCTCAAGGGTCGCGAAACCACATCACTCAACCCCCACTGCAGAGTACCACCGATCATCACCGACCGATGACGAATTTCATGCTTCCATCAGACCATTGGGCTCCAGTCCGAATTGCATGTCACTCGCTTTTCCCCGCTGAATAGGCTTCGATTCCCTGGATCCTTACACCGTAGCCCCTCAATCCAGCTCCACCTTCAACATGACTCCATGGTAGATGATCAGTCCACCCTCGCGCCTCATCAACTTCAAGCTCCGTGTATACACCACCTTGAATCAATCCCGCGCCATAGTCTTGTCGAAGCCACACAATCCCTTGGACCTGCGCCACGTGTTTCCACGCCCAGAAGTCGGCCACCATCAGCATCACGCTCCTATGTCGCCGTCGCCGATCCCGCACCGTCTTCTGTACCAACCGACTTGCGTCGATCCGTCAGACTGACAAGTCTGACCCAGCCGAATTACCCCGACTGCAACCATCTGCAACTCCTCACAGTCCTCATCGTCCGTCTGGCTTGACATCCCGCAACGCCTTCAAGCATCCCTGTTGTGCCAACAAATTTTCATCATTGTCTGCCATAACCCAAGGTTTTCAATTCTGTCGAACTTCTCCACCTCAAACCTGGTACCCGTTGGCTCCATGGTTCTTTGTACAGCCGACCTGTGAAAAAAAAAATACCGAGCACTCTTTCCGTGATCCCCAAGTACAGCAAGTATACTAGTTGCAAATCCAACAAGATAGCTTCTGATCTTCACGTGGAGTAGCTCCCTTGCACAACTTCAGATGCTAGCTTTGCTTGCCCAAGTCATTGCCTTCTAACGATGGATGCTTTTCTTTTGAAGTGTGCCTTGATGTTTGCACGTCCGCGTCACGGCCACGGGGAGAACGCCTCTTCTCCAGGGACTCGGTCCCTGTTTTTTATTTCCAAACAAATCCACATGCATGCAACCCTACCGAGCAGCCAGCCAGGCGTACGTGCCTGGGCGTCGTCCCAGACTCCTCCGCTGGCTCGGACAGCCCCACCTGGGCCAGCCCGCCAGCACCAGCCCCTGTTGGGCCACGCAGCCGTCTGCCGCTGCGCCTTCCGTGGCCGCCTGGCCACGTCTGCGTCGTCCGTTACGCCGCCGCCGCTCAAGCGGATCGATCCATCCGATCCGGTTACGACCACAACTCGCTGACATTGCTGTTCCTTGACTTCTTCCGATCGATCTCAACCGTGCCAACACGTATTGCCTTCACGATACCGATCTAAAATCAAGTTTTCTTCTCGATCAACAACCAGCGACCTCTCCGCAGAACCTAGCTCATGATACCACTTGTTAAAATAAATCCGAGGCACTCCGTCGATCATCCGAGGACCAAGCAATCACACGAGCACGACACCGAGATTTGTTAACGAGGTTAACCGATATGGCTACATCCCTGGGGTCTGACTACGGGCGCTCCTCCCCATGACACCGCTACAATACCGCACCCAGTCGCCCTGGACACGGCACATGCCGCCGGCTTCCCCTGCGTTCCGGTGCTATTATGTTGGCATAGGTTACATCGTGTGTCTACCCCCGCTATATAAGAGAGGCCTAGGATACAAGTGTCCTACTAGGACACGACTCCATATCCTATGTAAACACAATACAACTATAAGTCCAACTGTAACCTACCATGTACACTATATTCGACACAACTCCAACATTTTTTGAGAAGGCTTTGGGAAACCGGCCATGATCTTCAGAAGACGGCATAGTCGATTCGCCCTCGACCTGGAAGCAGCCAAACTTAAGAAAAGAGGAATCAGGAAGACTTGTTGAAGACAAAGAAGGTAGAGATCCTAACTATGGAAGGTAAGGATCCTATCAAAAGTCCATGTGTTTACTTGGAGCCTTGCACACACTTCATTGTCGACGGGAACTGTTCGAAAAGACAGGAAGATGGCAGATTCTTCAGTTGCCCCATTTGTAATACAACAGAAGATACTTAGCACCACTCACTACTTTCATGTCGCATGGCGAGGTGCACTTGGGCTTTGGGGAATGAGCATTTACTCGAGCATGTGATATCAAATCAAGAAGAAGATGCCAGGTTGTGGTTGTTTTGGCTCTTCAAAACCACAAACCAACAGGATCTCGCACGGGTGCTAGTCACTATTTATGGGCTATATGGTGGGCTAGAAGGGAAGGCCATCCATGGTAATGAATTCCTAAGTCCTACCTCGACTTGGTGCTTTATAAACAGATACTCCTTCCATTCCTAAATAAAAGTCTTTTAGAGGTTTCTAATGGACTACAACATCCAGATGTATATAGACATATTTCAGAGTGTGGATTCACTCATTTTGCTCTGTATGTAGTCCCTTGTTGAAATCTCTAAAAAGACTTATATTTGAGAACAGAGGGAGTACTTGGAAGAGCTAGAGATAGGTCAGTCTCGGCCGTCCCCTACTAGCACCTTTTCTGCTAGGCGAATAAGATAGGCAAGTGGATTCCCCTGAAGGAGAAGCGGCAAAGATGAACATTAATGGTGGTCTATCACGCCTTGGCGATAGGGCGCTGCGGCGGTGGCCTGTAGAGACAAGCAGGGAAATTATCTTGGGGCTTCGGCTGTAGTTTTTGATTGTCTGGTCGGCCGGCATCTCTGGAAGTTTATGTGTGCAATGAGGCACTTGTGGTTGCTCAAGATCTTCATATTCAGCAGATGACCATAGCCTCGGAGTGCCTCGAGGTGGTTACAAATATCAAGCAGGGGGTGGCTACTATGTATGCTTGTGTTCTGGAGGAAATTAATTTTAGAAGGAGAGACTTCAGTAGTGTTAGCTTTTGTTTCAAGTCTAGAGATTGTAATTTTGAAGCACACGCCTTAGAAAAGGCTGCTTCTTCGTTATCTGTCAGTCGTCATGTGCGGCTAGGGATGGTTCTAGACATTGTTTGTATGCCCTATTATTTACAGATTGAATAAAGTCCCTAGTTGCCCTAAAAAAGACAAATGAGGTCGGATGTGAGGACTCCTCCACCGCTTTAACCAACTAGGGGATCCTATTTTTCCGGTTCTTTTTTTTGTTCATCACGTATAGTAAAAATGTTCATTGTCTTCCCAAAACGTTATTGTGTATTTAAAGAAGGCTCATGTCATATTATAAAAAGCATTCAACTTGTATTGAAAAAAATGTTCACCATTGTGTTAAAAAAATGTTTGTCATATACTTTAAAAAGGTTGATCTTGTATTAAGAAAAGGTCATCGCTTTTTCCAAAATTGTTCATCATGTATTAAAAAGAATTGTTCATGTTTATCTAGAAAATGTTCATCGCGTATTTCAGAAATGTTAATTATTTCTTCAACAATTTTTATAGTGTAATTTGAAAAGGTTCATTGTGCATTTTAAAAATATGTGATTACAAAATGCATGAATATTTTTATATACAAACGATGATTTTTAAATAGGTTCAAAAATACATGATGGACAATTTATAATACAAAATGATCAATTTCTTGATATGGGATGAACATTTTTCTTGATACCAACTGAACACTCTCTTCAATTCACGGACTTTTTTTAGATACGAGATTGATTTGGTAAAATACATGTTGAACTATTTATAAATACACAATGAACATTTTTTAATGGGTGATGTACATGTAATATTAAAAAGAGGAGATATGTTGTCGTAATGGTTAGCACACGTTTCAAACCGGCGTAAAACCCAAAAGATTTCGCACGTCATCCGCCACCGCCCCCCTCCTACCTGCCAGTCTCCAGAGGACCCTGATGATAAGAGCAGACCGTTGAGAATTTTGTGCGGAAACACAAACATTCAAATGAAATTGCGTATTCACCAGATAACTAATGCTTGATCATCGCAAGGAAACACACACATAGATTATTGCTTGGTCCTCAAATGAAATGGAGAAGAAGAAATTGCCGGGCGGACAAATCATCAAATGGCAAGTAGTACGTTTGTCTGTAGAATAGAATTAATGTAGAGTACAAGCAAGTATACCAACTGATCGCTGCCTGTGTATATATAGTATATGTATGGGGGTAAAGAAGGAGAAAGAAGCATGAATGAATGAATTTGCCTGCCCTATCACGACGACTCGGAATCATCGTCGTCTGGAGGGGTTCCGACAAGCCAGCCCCACACGCCGCCCGAGCCAGCTTGCTTCTTCTGCTTGGCGTCCAGCGCCGCCTGCTCCTGCTCGGAAGCCGCCTTCTGCCTTCGAAGGAGCTCCACCTCCCTCTCCAGTGCATCCAGACTCTGAAGCTTTTGCCGCAGCTCCGCCACGTCCACCTCCAGTTTGAAACATCTTGACTGCTCAGCGGCAAGTTGCCCACGGACAGCTTGAAGTTCCTACAAGGTTTTACATACATAGATGCGCAAAAATAAGGATCCACACAGTACAAGTGGTTTACTGGTTTAGACTTCTCTTACTTATTGTGTATATACAAACTAAAACTCATAGCTTGATTGATTCAAAGACTGTATATGCAGGACAAAAGGACAGGCAAACTAACTATGCCGTACGTAGGGGCAGAAATTGAGCAACTGGAAGATAGAAAACAAGACTCGCCTTTGTCAGCTCCGCATTTCTGGCCTCTGCTTCAGTTATCTCTTCTTTAAGCTGTACAGTTTGCAGTCCTTCCCTGTTAAGCGTTGCCTCTAGTTCGTCTTTCTCAGCTTTAAGGGCTGCCAAAAGTTGTTCATTTGCTTCATCATTTCTGTTTTTCTGAAACACAGCACAACACAATGACGTATAAAGCCAGTTTCAAGTACATCTTCCAAATAACAGAAAGTTGTATCAAATAATGTTGAATGTGCATATGTACCCAAAAAAATAGCTGCACCCTCTAGTTTAAATTTGTACAAACGGCATTTCTACAGTAACCGAGATTCAACAAATGCTTTCTGCTGTATTCAAGTTAGGTCAACATAGGCACCTCCAGGTAGTTCCAGATATTAGAGAGAAACATTACCGAATCAGCATTGTCCATGGCAATCTCCCGTATCTTCCCATCTTGAGAAATTTCAACCTCAGGTTCCAGCACCCTAGACGTGCTATCTGAGGTTGGTTGGTCCTTTGTGCTCGACTGCAAATCTAACTTTACACTAAGTTTAAGAGCATACACCTGTCCAGCACAGAGGAAAACAAAAGATTGAAATTTTGAAAGCGATTTCCAGGCATATAGATGATTAATAAAATGCCAGTTACCTCATTGCTGTACCGTCCATTGTATCCTCCAAAAGAAATGAGATAATCTTCTCCACTATAATTGCTATACAATAAAGTCATGCCCTAAAAATAATAGGGTGTAAATGTTACCAACCAAAAGAAAATCATTTCAACATTAACAAATTGCTCAAGAGGAATACCTCACTGGCAAGAGGAACACGTCCTTCTACAGTGCTAACAACCGACCATGCCAGAGTTGACATGTTAAGCACAAGTGTTTCGGAGACACCTGCAAGGACAAATGCATGAGATCACTAAATGCAAACATAAATCAAAATAAACTAAAGGTAAACTTAAAATTGACGGCCCGAAAACGCTGCCTAACTGCAACAGAAGTATTGACTTGACAAGAACCTGATGTTAACAAAGATGAGTGATACAGTGGCTACTCATCACAATTCCATAGCATTAACAAAGATGTGTGTTATCTTAATCCTCTTAAAGGAAAATAATAAGACAATACAATTTGCATTTCAAGACGACAAGTGCTTGAGCCATTGCTTTGTGGATTTGAATGAGATTTTGCAGAATACTTTCTGAGCTTATGTGGCATTGTGATTTCTCAACATAATGTGAGAAACCATCTCGTAAGTGAGGCACCAAGTTGCAAGCCAATACCTAAATTCAGCATATTCAACTGCTGAGTTAGTTTTGAGGTGCACAAGGAATTGTCTTGGTTCTATATGCAGGGAATGTTTAAGGAAACTGTGCCTCCCATAACTCTTCGCAGCACCTCCAATTAGCACTTAACAAATTAAACTGGGGAAATTATCTCAGGAAGTAAAAATCTACTAGTAATATGAACATATAAATATAGACTGAAAGCCATAAAGATTTCTCCAAGAAAACACCGATACTTCCAGCAACTAGCGTATCTGTTGGTTCTTGCTTTTGTTGGAATCATGGATAAGAAGACAGAAGCTAATGGACTGCACTGACTAAATATATGGTAAATGGCTTGATGTTTAATTGTTAACATATTTTTTATATTGTTTTCAACAATAGTCAAACGTATCCTCGTATTGGCGCTTTTCAGAAATGACGTATTTACGTATCTGTATCACCCCGATACTGATATGTGTATCCGTATTGAGGCAATCTAGGGTTTTTCTAATATTGTACGAGAAGAGCCGGAATGTACATAAGATCAGGCACTTAAAAACCTACCGCTTTTGTTATTGCCACCACCAACAATGTACCAATTCTCTCCAACAGTTGCACCTGCGTGACCAGCTCGTGGGCTTGGAATCGGGCCCTGCTGTTTGGGTCTCGACCATTCCATCTGTGATTCTAACATTAGAACTTAACAATCACAGGCAATGAATTAATCTTCAGAGTCCCAGCAAGAAATTTGTTCTTACCGTCTGCAAATCAAGGACATGTAGGTCATTAAAACATGTCGCATGAGATCCGCCGCCAAAAATTAGAAGATAGCGGTCAGCATGGCAAGCAGCAACATGGTCTGATCTAGGAGCAGGAGGGGTGCCTCTAAAACATAAAGCAAACATTAGAATACATTGAATCCAGAAATACGGTAATATCAAGTTCGGTGTCCAGAACAAGATTCAAATTTCACATCCAATATGCCTTCTCTGTTTTTCCCTTTCATTTCATTTGTCTCTTTCAATCAATTTAGTACTTCTATCAGTCCCATCTAATTGAGAAAAAATAAGTAGTAAACCAGTAATAATCCAACTAAGCGCTTCAGTTCAGAGATTCAAATATGCCTTCTCTGTTTTTCCCTTTCATTTCATTTGTCTCTTTCAATCAATTTAGTACTTCTATCAGTCCCATCTAATTGAGAAAAAATAAGTAGTAAACCAGTAATAATCCAACTAAGCGCTTCAGTTCAGAACTATTTAACATGAAGAGTAATCTACTTGAACAGCTTTTAAGCTAAGTTTATGGAGCATCTCACTAGGAAAAAAAAGCTTCAATCATTATAAAATAACTTGAAAGGCAACAAATGCACACGATGACCTACGTGTTCCAACTAAATTTAGTAGCACTTAACAGTAGTTCAGATACGATGAAGCTAACAATGTCACCAAATGAACAGTACATATCACAAAGATTATGCATGAGAGATCTACAGAGATTCCAGTACTCACATTGCATCCACATCATCCCATGTCATGGTTTCAAGATCAAGAATGTGCAAATCATTCAAAAGACATCGCTTTGCATCTTCGCCACCGAACACGACTAGAGTTGTTCCAACAAGAGTCACTGACTGACCTCCACGAGAAACCTGCAGCAGATGAAATTCGCATAAGTAATATACTTTAAATAACTAATTAGCCAATTTAGTATTTAGCAAGATTTTGTATCATTCATTCACTTAAGGGTGTTTGTGTTATCTCAGCAAGCACCGGAGAATTATTGCAACAACAAAACTAGACATGGCCATGAACTTAGTATTATACTCCGGATTTTGGTGCAAAATATAAAATGCCCTCACTTAGTATCATAAATGGACTGAGTCAAAATATTTCTTGTAAACATGATACATATATTTTGATGATGTGAAAGATGGCCCCAAGTTTGATACTGGTACCGCTAACACTGAACAAAAACTACCGCATAAGCTACGAATGAATTGGTCACCCCCAAAAATTGTATACATCTATGCAACTATATGCAATATGTTTCATAATTCCAAAGCTGAGAGTATGCTCTTTGGACTATGTTGCAGATTGCAAGTGTTCAGCTTGAACGAATAGAAGACTTCTCTGGACTTGGCCACAAAGTTAAAAGAACATGAGCTGAAGGCTATTATAATGATCAATCCAAGTTCATAGTTGCCAGAGAAAATTAGAACTGCACATAACTCACCACTCTTGAACCTTAACTATACCACATATAATAGTGTGTTAGCCCTTACTTAAGGCACATCATACTGTGTTAAACTAAAGTAAACTCTCGGATAAAATAAGGTATATGCCAATTGAAGAAACCATTAAGACATGCTTATCAAAGGACAGTGAAACAATAAACAAATATGTCATTCCAATTATAACTGATATAATAGGACAGGAGAGATCACAGATCTATGGGTTGAAGAAAATTATTACCGGTGGTTTTCCGTAAGCCTTGACAATCGACCAGGTACAAGTATGTGGATCAAATTCCTTCACTAGCATAAAAACACCAAAAACATAGTAACAACATCAACAAATATTCACAGATGTTAGATATGATTACATCACAGCGCTATGCAGACTGAAAAGTGACTTTTAGTAAACCTGTAATGCTGTCAGATGGATCTTTTGTATGCCCAGCAACAGAGAAGAATTTGTTACCGCATGATATCTACAAAGTGGTAGTGGGGGGTTAGCATCAGGTGGAAGATACTCATTAGCTGCAGCTATTACATATTTGTGTAAAATTTACCAAAGAATGGCCAGCACATGGAGAGACTTGTGCTGTTTTAGCTGAATCAGATGTTCCTGCTTGCAATTTGGCATCAATCTTGGACCAAGTCAAACTCTTCAGATCCAAAACCTGCGGTTGACACAAATTGTGGCAAAGAAAAACAAGAAGCATTGAGTCGGTGTTACTTAATTCTGTAGAAAAAACTATCGTTGTTCCCATGCATTGTTACAACATACTCAATTGAACAATAATAACAATCTAAGAGCATAAGATGACTGGAATTGTTACAGGGCATGCTTCAGCACCGCACTAATTTTACATAAGATCATTGAGCTTAGGGATTATGAATAAAAATGAATCACTAATTCTGAGAGCAGTGTGTACAGACAAAAACAATTGGTTGATGATGATTTAGTGACAAATATGCGACAAAATTTGTTCGTGTGCCTCCATGTCCAAGCTAACAAAAAATTAGAATGCATACATATGACATGCTGCATTATCACAGTTAGCTTCACAAACCTGAAGGTCACTAAGATAACGGCCATTGTGGTTTCCACCAAATATATACATTTTGTCTTGAAGAACAGTTGCTCCATGCTGCAGCAGCCAAAATTCACATCAATGCTACAAAAGTAAATATAGCAAACAGAAACAAAAGATAGGGTAATAACCCTACAAGTTTGAAAATAAAGAGGCAAGGGAACACATGGCTCACCTCATAGCGGGGTTTAGGCCGCTGGCCGCTAACAGACAATGCAGTCCATTCCTCGTGAGCACTGACAGTACTAAGACCTTCCAGAATAACAACTTTGTCTTGTGTCTCCACTGAACTTCCGTTTTCAGAAATGGTTTTTGGTTCTGGAATTGGTGATGTTCCAGTTCCATTTGTCAAAGCCGGTACGATGTCCGGCTCTTCCTTTGGTTTCTTGTAAAACGAAATACAGATAATTTATTGATAAACCAATAAGTTCAAGGATATATAAGGTGGATTCAGAATACTCAGGCAAACAACAGAGAAGCAATGTATACTTGGGATATATATGTACCCAAATACATTATCTGACGTGACTTACATGCATTTCAATATCTACTACAGGCTGAGGGTTGATGAACTCAGGGATTCTAGAGTACCATCCAGGATCTTCCTCCTGCCACCATAACATCAATGTGTCAATACAACACTAGCGCAGATGCAACACACTGAAGAGCAACATGTAACTAGCTATACCTCCAGTATTTTGACAAAGAGACGCATCGCCTCTGCGGACGGCATGCTTCCAAGCCCATGCCAGCTGAAAACACAAGAGTATGACTAAGCAAGCAGCAGCAATTCAAGTGCGCGCACATGGCAATTGCTAAATTGGTGTTCACTGGGCATCTATCTATATGGACAGATAATTGTTCCAAAAGGCCAAACTAGTGAACTAGCGGCATATATAGGAAAATTGCACTATCTAGCTAGGAGTTGTGGCCTTTGCAGCAGCATATCTTAAGCTCGATGGAAGCCGGGAGTCAGGCTCGGAGACGCCAACCTCGTCCATTTGCTCTGCTCCACGGGGCTCCACGCCCTGGGCTTGGGCACGTTGCAGGGCCCGACCGTCGCCTGCGCCGAAACGAAAACCACGAGGTCAGTCGCCACCAGCCGAATTCCCGATCCCTGATCCCCACCATTTCGGCGGGCCTAGCCTAGGTCGTCACCTGCTGGTGGAGGCCGTAGAGGAGGAGGGCGACGTCGTTCTGGAAGCGGGAGATGGCGGCGGTGGAAGGGGCGCCGGCGCCGAAGCCGGCGTAGGCCGCGGCGGCGTAGAAGCGGTCGGGGTAGGCGATGCCGGAGCTGGCCATGGCCCTGCTGGATCTCCCTCGTCGAGATCTCCCGCCGACCGTCGCGCCGGCGCCGGCTGGAGGCGGGCGGGCGGCGGCTAGGGTTCGCTGCGGGCAGCCCCGCCTCTGCTTACTCGCCGCCGGGTGGGGGGAATGGGAGCGGGGGTCAGCGGCGCGGGGATGGGAGTGGGGAGGGGTCTCCGGAGATCTGGAGGGAGACGGCGATCCGACGCTCGCTTCGTTGGCGGGGCGGGCCGAGGCGACGCTCCTTTAACGCGGCCGCTGAGGTGGACGGGGGAGGCCACGTGCGCGCGACACGTTGGTCCAGTGACGTGGTGGTGCAGAGTCGCCGGGGTTGCTTGCTCGCTCCGTGTCACACAATTTGTGAGTAAGAAGAGTTTACATGAATTTTGTACAATTTCTAAAGGAATTTATTTTAGTCCTCTTGGTTCCTAAGAATGAATTCTTGTTTCTATGTAGGTTATGAATCAATATCCTTCACATTTCAAAGAAAAAAACATCAGCCGACTCAATGGAAAAATCCATATCTTATGCCTCAGATAACATCTCTTTTTCTATAACGTGTCTCTATGATTTTCCTATTCGTATAATACTCATATCCTATGAACCAAAGGAGATCTAAGCTCTACTATAGTTTATGCGAGTTAAAATCACAAGTCCCCAACTAACACCTGCGTGGAAGATATTAGGTGCTCTTTGCTAATTCTTCCATCAATTCACTCAAGGAGGTTTCATGCTACAATCCGAGGTCTCGATACAAGCAGAAGTGTGCAAAACGGGAAGAAGAGAGGGTTGTGTTGAGAGCCAGGTGGGAGTAGGTAGTCCTCGTCCTTTCCGGTTCGTGATTGATTTTCCATGATGATTGTCTTGGATCATGAGCTTCTTATGTTGCCGCAAGCATGTTCACCCACTACGGGCCAATCACTATGGTGTTGCTTCTTCTATCTCTCTTGTGATGACCTTGGGCCTTATTCGATGATGGGTCGGCCTGCTATTGGGCTTCACATACAATAGCAGTAGTGGTGCTGACACTCTGTCCTTTTTGTGTTTTGGCTTGTCCACAAGCCACATCACATGGGAACCAGGCTTGCAATTATTCATGGTCTCATCAGGTGGAATCTGTGTGATAACCAGACCGACGCACCAAAACTTGTTCTATAACTCGATTGGTTTAACTTCATGTCGAGTGTCGGTTGTACATGGATCTCAAATTGGGTCGTGTCTGAAGATGGAGATGGGGAGGCAAACACACATAGTTTCAGAGTTGAAAGACGTGAAAATCAGATGAATAAACGAAGCCTCATGCAAACCGATCTGTAAGGGACTTGGCCAATATGAGCTCAAACATGGAAAAGGCCCAAACTATCCGAAAGACAATTTGTGGCAAGCATGTTGGGTTGTAGAACTTTGCACATACAGCTTTAGCTTGATGTAAACTTGCTTGCCCACTTTAAAATTTTGATGTGGCATGTTTTGCCAGCCTAATGTTTCATACGCATATGAGCTTGTAACAGGTGTTGCCTGACCAGTCACTCCTTTAACGCTACCCGAGGTGGACGGGGGTGGCCACGTGGGCATGCCACATGGGTCGAGTGACATGGTGGCGGAGAGTCGTCGCGAAAGTAAAACATCGGTCTTTTATGTTGGAGAAGTGAGCCCACCTTGACAGTGGCTATAATAATTGTGACTAAGCTCTATAGCTCACGCAAGCTTAAAATTTAAATCCCAACTAACACCTAAGTGTTGGGTTTCGTAGTAATTTCAAAAAAATTCCTACGCACACGCAAGATCATGGTGATGCATAGCAACGAGAGGGGAGAGTGTGATCTACGTACCCTTGTAGATCAACAGCGGAAGCGTTGACGCAACGTAGAGGAAGTAGTCGTACGTCTTCCCGATCCGACCGATCCAAGCACCGTTACTCCGGCACCTCCGATTTCTTAGCACACGTACAGCTCGATGACGCTCCCCGGGCTCCGATCCAGCAAAGCTTCGGGGATGAGTTCCGTCAGCACAACGGCGTGGTGACGATGATGATGTTCTACCGACGCAGGGCTTCGCCTAAGCACTACAACGATATGACCGAGGTGGAATATGGTGGCAGGGGGCACCGCACACGGCTAAGGAACGATCACGTGGATCAACTTGTGTGTATAGAGGTGCCCCCCTGCCCCCGTATATAAAGGATCCAAGGGGGGTGCGGTCGGCCCTATGGAGGCGCGCAGGAGGAGTCCTACTCCTACCGGGAGTAGGACTCCCCTCCCGTTCCTTGTCCAACTAGGAGAGGTGGAGGGAGAATAGGAAAGGGGGGGCGCCGCCCCTCCCTCCTTGTCCAATTCGGACTAGGTGGAGAGGGGGCGCGCGGCCTGCCCTGG